GTAGAGGGAAGTCCAAGGGTCAATGCCCTACCCTCCTCTTCGTCAATGACGTGGCCGGAAATGAGTCATAAAAGTAATCCGGTTTCTTTATTGCCACACCTTGTATTGTGTACTGCAACCAAACTGCTATTATACACTTATCATATGCATATATACTGAAGCTTGCTGATAGGTTTATTACATTTACCAACTGAATATAAAACTTCTTAAATGAGAGTTTAATACCGCAAAATATGTGTACTTATTTAAGTCATCAGAACTGCATATGTGTTCATATATTTGTTATTTCTAACATACAGTCAACATATTTTTAATTCTTTAAGCATCATGGCTTGTATCACATTTTGTAATTAATCATACCCATCATTTACAAGGTGCGGCAATAAAGAAACCGGATTACTTTTATGACTCATTTCCGGCCACGTCATTGACGAAGAGGAGGGTAGGGCATTGACCCTTGGACTTCCCTCTACCGTCACACAAAGTTTCATTCACGTGCATCGGTTAGTCTGGCCGCGACCATTGTTAGAAGCGGATCGTGTTTCTGAGCTCCGTCGGAATAATGCTGAGTGCTAATGCAGAACAACGTGCTAACATCAAATTCCTCACAAAACTTGGAAAATCTGCCACTGAAACTTACAATTTGTTGACAGAAGTATATGGTGATCAGTGTCTATCTCGCACGCAAGTTTTCGAGTGGTTTAAGAAGTTTATGGAGGGTAGGAAAAACGTCGGGAACGATCCAAAATCGGGCCGTCCTCCCACTGCGAAAACTCCAGAGAATGTGGAGAAGGTCGCTAGAATTGTTCGAAGAGATCGTCGACTGAGCATTCGAGCAATTTCTGAACTTACGAACATCAATAAGGAAAGTGTTAGACAGATTTTGCACGACGATCTGGGCATGAAAAAGGTGTGTGCTAAAGTGGTGCCAAAAATCCTTACCCCCCAGCAAAAGGAACATCGAGTGAATTGCTGTGTTGACACTCTTGAAAACATTGAAAATGATCCTGATTTCTTCCAAAACGTAATTACGTGTGACGAAACTTGGATTCTTCAATATGATCCAGAGACTAAGCGACAATCCATGCATTGGAAGAGCCCCAAATCCCCTAGGAAGAAGAAAGCGCGCATGAGCAAGTCCAAATTCAAAGCAATGATGATTGTTTTTTTCGATATCCGGGGGGTAATCTACATTGATTGGGTGCCTGAAGGTCAGACTGTCAATCAGGTTTATTATAAAAATGTTTTGACGTACCTCCGTGAACGTGTGCGACGAAGGAGACCAGACATGTGGAAGAATGCCTCATGGGTTCTTCATCACGACAACGCGCCAGCACACAACGCGCTATCTGTGAAGAGGTATTTGGCAAAAAACAACATTCCAGTGACGGAACATCCACCGTATTCTCCGGACCTAGCACCGTGCGACTTTTTTCTCTTCCTGAAAATCAAGTCTGCGCTCAAAGGGACCAGGTTCGAGTCCATGGATGCAGTGAAAGCAAAAGCGACGCAACTCTTGAAGAGCATAACACAAGATGACCTGCAGCACTGCTTCCAACAGTGGAAAATTCGCATGGAGCGGTGTAGGGATCGGGGAGGGAACTACACTGAAGGGGATAACATTTTGATTGTCTGATTTTTTTAATAAAGGGTTAGAGCATGAATCCGGTTTCTTTATTGCCGCACCTTGTATTATTGTGTTTACAACACATTCACCCCTCTCACAATCCAGTAACAGTACCTACTAAGCAACATCCCAAATAGAAAATGGATCCATAGATCCATAAAGGTTATCAATTAATAACAACAAAGGGAATACAAGACAAAACACTATATTTAAATACAATTTAACACAAATTAGGCTATTAAAATAAAAGCCATTGTAGCCTTGGTGAAACACCAGTGCAATACAAATTTCATAAATATTGTGGCATGTCATACGAACACTCATTGCTATGGATATTCCTACACAATGGTCTCAACAATTTCCATTGTTTCGTTGCTCAGCAATGGACGACATATAATACGTCACAATATAATAACATGATAGTACATATATTTTCAATTTACAAACTGCATCTGCAGCAGAAGCACGTCTACCTGAAGGACAGTGACTGAAGCAGCAAATGAACATGAAGTCATGTATGTTCTGAAGAGAAATATGAATACAGACTGTTTCTAGAACTGAGAGGCAATATTAACCGTTCAGCGTGGTTTGACGTGTATGTTTCGTCAGGTATTTAAATCGTCTGCGGGGGTTCGACGTCTATGTTTCGTCCAGCTGCACACCTATGTTATAACGCCCATAATAATTGATGGTTTTGCTGTAGATTGTTAGATTTTTTGCTGGCCTGTTGTCAGGAGAACCGTATTTAATGAGACATGAGTTTAGCTGCGCTAATTCATCGTTACATATGCCTGTCTTGCAGCAAAGTTCCTGTTGCTCTTGGGAGAGGTTTAGTCATTCAAACTGTTATGAATGGCGTGTTTTCTTTCCTATGAAGTTATAAACAGCAGAGACGTGATATGTGCTGTGTTTATAATATCATATTGCCCTGAGCTGGCCACACTAACACACTCAATTGGAATTCTTAGAAGAGGGATGTCCAAATTTTATTCTTGCAAGATCGATTCATTTCGCACAGTACATGGCAGCCAGTTCTTAGAAAAACGCCACAAATTAAGGCANGTCACCCCTACGACGTCTTATGCCACCAAAATGGATGGAAAATGAAACGCAGAAGCACCAACACTTGTTATGATAACATAAAGGTTGAATTTACTGCAGCTAATCTGGCTAGCGATACGACTCACGGAGAGACATTTCTTCTTGTATTCCCCCCACAGGGAAGAAGGCAAGGCCGCACAGATGTTTGGTTTACGGAAAAAAGAGCCAAATGAGTGATACGCAGTACTGGTGTGGTGAATGTGAGACAGCGCTGTGTATAGTAGAATGCTTCAATGCGTACCATACTCCGCTCAAATTCTGAACCACCTGCTTCCTTTGCCGAGATACCGGGCGCTCATATTATAAGGCAAGGTTATAAAACCATCTTTTAAGATCACTCTAGTGAAAGTTTCATGCTTCAAGGCGTACCATTCACTGCTCAAATTCTAAACAAACTGCTTCCATTGCCGAAATACAGGGCGCTCATATTATAAGGTAAGGTTATAAAAGTTTCATGTTTCATGAAAGTTTCATGTTCCTATCTCATAGAATTTAAGAACAATGATGAATAAATCATTTTCGAGCAAAATTTAAATGGCCGGCTGAATATATTACCGCCGGAGAGACGGCCGCGGAATTTAAATGACCGCGCAAAAGGGTTAAGGGCCACCATATACATTTATTAATAATAAAACATCTGAGTGATATCTAGTATAAGATGTCTGTAAATATTTGTTTATAAATTATCATAATGGTGCTTAAGGTTTGAAAAATCTACTGTGAGAAAGAGTCAAAAATTGTCTTTGTATGTGCTCTAGTTTACTGATGTCTCTCTCATCCACTTGTTTCCATCTCTAATGGAGATGGCCTTATAAGACCATCATCATGCATCTGTTATCAACTGAAACTCGCCACATTGTACCAGCTCATATGTTAATAGAGCCAAAACGTGTCCAACAGTAAAATAAAATGTAATTTTAATGGCATTTTAGTAAATTTAAATGTGACTGTAATGACACTTTAAATAAGTTTATGTTGCATTAGAGATACAAACAAGTGGAGGAGTGATGTATCAGTGCAACAGGATGCTGAAATATAATATTACTGGAGTCTGTATTCATAATAGGGTTCTACACAACGAAACCATACTTGAGATTAGATGTGGCCCAAGCAAAATATAGCACTGGTAAGCTGTAAATCTGTAAATCTGTAATATAATCCCTTCACAATATAAAACAACATTCCAAGAATATATTGATAATTTAGCATATTCATTTTCTTGGTAAAAGAAATAACTCTGATTTCACTACAGTTAAGCTGCACAAAATTGGATGAAGCTCATCATGTACACAGTCAATAACTGACTGTAAAGTAAACAATCGCTAGGTTACTTAATAGCTAACTTTCAGGCTATCAGCAAAAAGATGACAGTTTGAATGACTAATTACATACATACATTAACATGATATTAAAAGAACCTGCAAAGTCAAACAGTATTATGTCATTCCATGTACTCACCAAGCAGAGCTTTAGCACGTCGCTTACGTGTGCGAGAAACATTGACATAGTTGTCATGGTCACGGGCATGACTTTCCATACTATAATCTGGCACCAGTGTCACTCTGTTCAGTTTGGGATCCACAGACATGAAGTGACGAGCCACCTGCAGAATTGCCTCACGCAAATCCACAAGTATTTCTACAAGTATAAAACATTACATGAGAAACTACTGAAAATTAAATATTAAATAAATCTGTGACTGTCAAATGTGTTATGCTACTATTTTTACTTTAATTCTGTTTAATAAGTGATTGAAATTAGATAATTAATTTTAATTTTAAATATGTGGAAAAGTGGGTTTACCATGCAACTCATATAAAACAGGCTGAACTCTTAGAAAGCAGGAAGCAAATTGTTGGCATCTTTGTGTGCACTGGCAGTTCTGTGAGCAGCAACCCTAGCACACAAACTTTCACACATAAGCTGGCATATGGTTTTCTAATCAACAGAGATTCTGTAAATTTTGTCTCGGGCGCAAATTAGCTAACAAGGTTTATAACATATGAAGCAACCTAAAATTAGCTTGCTGGAAGTTCATATAGGGAACTTCTGGATAGTAAACAATGGAACGGGGCAGTGGAACACTAACCCTGCATAAGCCCACAGAGAAGTGTATAACACTTAAAAGTAAAATACATATCACCCCCAAAAAGAGTGTGAAATCAGAACATCAGTAATTAGTGACTTTAAGTTTATATTAACATATTATACACCAGCCAGGATAGTGCAGTCGGCATAGCGACTGACTATGGGCTGGATGACTGAGGGTTCAGAGTTTGAGTCCCATTAGGGTTAAGGATTCTCTCTCTTTTGTGTCATCCAGACTGGCTCTGGGCTCCACCCAACCTCCTATCTAATGGTTATCTGGGGCTCTTCCCCCAGGGGTAATGCAGCTAGGGCGTGAAGCTGAACACTCACCTCCAGCTACTGCCGAGGTTAAGAAAATGTTGATCTATACATCCACTCCCCCATACGTCTTCATGATGTAGTGCTTAATTAGTTAAGCACAGGGACAACTTTACCTCTAACATAATATAAACCATAACCTGATATTCTAATAATCATTATTTTAAAATGGCCTATTAAAAATAACTGAATACTCGAACAATATTTCAACCTGCATTAATACCTGTTTCCTGTCTTGTTTACACCTTAACTGAGTACTGAGTAAAACCACAGGTAATCTTATTACTTTATTTATTAAAAATATTGGAAATTTCTTTTAATTTTTGGTTTTATGAATGTTTACATACAAGAATTAAAATCATTGCCTTGCCACCAGATTCTCAGGCTGCAGATGGAAGACAGTTCATTTAAATTTGAATGGCAGCTCTGAATATATTAGATGGGCATCCGAGACAATTCCCAACATGAAAGCCCACTGTGAATCTAAAATCTGTCATCATAAGAATGGAAAGCTGTATTCATATTTTGAGTACATATGTTTTACAAATGCAACTTTATGGCTTCCATTACCTCAGTGACCTTGATGTTCATTTATTGCACACATAAACCTAATTTTGCAAAGCTAATCACATTACTTATATACTGCATAAGAATCAGAAATTATTTCATTTTGTAATTCATCAAACATTCACAACAGTGAAAAGTATGTGAATTAAAGTTGCAAATTTTGAAAATGCATAAAATTTTGGAGTCATGTACCAACTTTTGTACGATTAAATGTTTCTGTGACAATAAATTTCAATTTCATGTGAAGTATGGGTTTTTTGGACTAACAGATATCAACCAGAATTAAATTTGTCCTACAAACTTCGGTGTAGAATTCAATATCAAATTTCACCAAAATTCAGTTAAGTAATGTCAGAGATGAAAACATGAAGACAGGAGGATAGATAGAACCTCCTCATTATGTACTCTGAGCAAAGAACTCATGAAACTGGTGTGACTTATGGTACAAAATTTTCATCGAAAAAATAATTTGGAAATATTTGCATTTATGCAGTACAAAATCTTCATAAGTAAAGCTTTACATATGCTTTTTGATATATCAGAAGATAAATGTATACCGAACTTACATACAAATAACATAATAAAATTAGATTAAACAATACCATACTTATAAAGACCTCTGAAAGCGGCCTCCGTAGTCTAGAGGTAACATTCCCACCTCATGACTCGTGGGACGCGGGTTCAAACCCGGCGGAGGTTGTGGAATTTTTAAGGGCAGAAAAATTCAGGGAGCAAGTCCTCCGGGAGGGACTTTAAGCTGTGGGTCCCGTGTCGTAGCTTTACGGCATGTAAAAGAACCTCATATCTCCTAAGGAGGTCACCGAGCGAAATTCAAGGACGTTTCCCGCCCAACAGTAGTCTCTAATGCCTCTGATAGATCGGGGAAGCATTATAGATACCGCCAAGCCAGTAGAGGCCGAACTCGCTGGCTTGGTCGGGACTGATGGTAAGCACCAGTATCGGTAGGGTATAGAGACTGGTAGAATATCATAGAGGGAAGCACAATAGATCAAACTGGTCGCGGTGCATGGGGAAACCCACCCTCTCCAATAACTAACTAACTAAGACCTCTAAATGAGGAAATAAGCCATGACTGTCCTCTGTTACCAACACTGTTCAATCCACACACAAATTAAATTACTGACTGGAGAGAAAAATATACAAAAGGGCAAAACTATCAAGAGACATGAAATGGAATATAGTATTGTTTGCAGACAATCTATAACTCACAGGATAACTTACAAAGAGGACTATAAATTTTACACTGAGAAAGGACCAAAACCTGGAATGAAAATTTCAACCCAGAAAACTAAAATCACGGTTTGTGTGGAAATTAAAAAAAAAAGCATAATCATGCCCACATATTGGATTGTAACATTTCATATAAGGAGAGGGCACAGACTCCAGCATCAGTTTTTTTTTTTAAATAAATATCAGGACTCCTAAACAATTCTTTCAAACCAAATTTACTTTAGAGAATATCAAGACTACAACTATATAAAACACTAGATGTAACACTTCTTCTTCATGGTAGTGAAACTTGGACAATATTATTAGGCTGAAACAGACCACAAGTTTTTGAGATGAAATTTTTAAACAAAACAGCAGGATACACTCTTTCTGACTAAAAAAAAATGAAGTTTCAGAAAAGTTCAAAACAGATTCTTTACAAGAAAACTTTGTAACACAAACAACTGGCTTCACAGACATTAGAAGTAACCACAGACAACCAACCCACACGTTTCAACGTAGCACCTAGAGAAAAATAATGACTTGAATGGTCTCTGAGGAACACAAGTCCCAAACAGGCTGACCTAATTGCCTAATTTCAAGACATAAGGATGATTATTGGTGGTGGTGGTGGTGATGTGAACTCATCACACAACCTGAAGATGACATAAGAATTGAATACAAAATTCTGGTAAAAACTGAGAAAGACAATTTTAGAATCTGACGTAGATAAAAGAAAAATATTAAAATGGATAATTGCTGTTATGATAGCAACTGGATTCAAATGGCTCAGCATGTCTAAAGGTAATTTTGTGGTGAACTTTTAGTTTCAAGCGATGTAAAAAATCTTTAAACAGTGGAAAACCTACACATCATATGAGGAATCCTGTCTCAAGGATTCTGTTATTAACCCTTTAGCGGTTTCTGACAATATACCCTGCACCTCATTTCTGTCTTTGTGTGATATAAATCAGATATCTCACAAAGTTTCAAACACATGTGCTCCATGTATTGAATTTCTGATAAACTACAAGGTGTTACAAATGACATTAGGAAAGACTGTTCTACTGGGTACGCTGGTTTTGAGTACTGAAAAATAGTATGCAAAAAGTAAAACTGTATAATTTGTATAGCTCTGGTGGTCACAGGTGAAACACCTAACTTTTCCAGTAAACAACTGAAGCTCTAATATATTTCATTGTTTTTCAAAAAGATCTCCATTAAAAGATCTGCATGCACTAGATTTACACTAATCCATTCTTCTTCATTTGCATGCTCCTTTTATGCCATACTTATGGTACCGCTTTATAACACGATAAAGAACAATTTTTGTTCCATATTTCCATCTTTCTCAGTTGATAAGCATGTGAACTTTCAAATGTTCTTTTACAGGCCAATAGGCAAAGCTAGAAGCTTTCAAAACGTTGCCTTCACCTAACAACCTATATACAATTACACCATTCAGGTTATAACTGTTGGAATCTGTCTGGCTTATTATTTGAGACTTGCAAGAAAGCAGCTTCTGTACAACTGATTATTTTGTTTGTATGATTGTTGCATGAAAGCCTCAAACCCTAGATGTAACATGGCTATATCAACAAGACTCAATACTAGAACTTCATTTGCGCTAACAGGGTGAATGAGAGCAACAGTGACCTGAAAGACTAAAAGAACTGTGCCCTATCTTTGTCTTGACTATAATAGTACACCATGAAGACAAACTACTGAGGTTATTGAGGCCAGAATAAATATGACAAATATGTTCACATCTGTATTCAGCAGCCAGATTTAGAAGTGCCTGTGATTGCCTTTCTTTGGAACTGGAGGTTCAAGTCTGGATCTCAACACAGATGTTGATTCATCTGTTGTTGTTGTTTTATTTTATTTATTTATATTCTTTAAATTCAATAAATCCTTTTTGGTGAAGCCTAGGATGTTGAACAAGTCACAATGAAATCAAAACATACACAAGAACAGTTCATAAAATAGAACTCAGTCACATACAGAGCAGTCATAAAACTAAATTATACATAGTGATAATCAAACCACAAAAAAAAGTGGAAATTGTTGAAGTTAAAATCGATTAAATTACAACCCATGAGAGCTTACACAACACAACCATAACACATACATTTCACAAGATTTCAATATTAAAATATACTTAAAGTTCAATTAACGAATACAAACATAAAATATCTTAATAACATATATCTTTTTCATTCATTCATTTGTATGTTCATAATATTCATTCATAGAATAAAAGGAATGATGATACAAAAACCTCTTTAGTGCTGATTTAAAACTTTTCTCCTCATTAACTAACATTTTTATTGACTGAGGTAGACAATTACATACTTTTATACCTGTTATATAGGGTCCCTTTTTATATTATGTCAGATTCATGGCAGGCATATGTATATCTTCGTGAACTCTAGTTTTGTATTCATGTATCTCGCCATTAATAAAAAAACAAGTTTTTATTATTCATTATAAATAAAAGTAATGAATATATATACTGTGAGTATAGTGTCATTATTCCCATCATCTTAAAAATCTTCCTGCATGACTCTCTAGGTTTAGTGTTAGTTATGATTCTAACAATTCTTTTCTGCATTATGAATACTTTATGTACACTGGTTGCACTGCCCCAAAATATTATTCCATAGCTGATAACAGAATGGGCTAAGATGAAATAACTCAACTTTAATGCTTCTCTTGATACTATATGTCTTATATTTCTTAGTGCATAACAAGCTAAGGCCATTTTCTTAACAATCTGTTATATTTGGCCTTCCAGGATAAAGTATCATCAATACATAATCCAAGAAATTTAGTTTCGGATATGGAAGCAATGCCCTCCTGTTCACAGACAATGTGAGTTGGGCTCTTACTGCCTTTCCTTAAACAAAAATTCAAATATTGAGTTTTCTTAAGACTCAAAGTAAGTAGATTGGAAGTAAACCATGTGTGTATTTTCTTGATGGTTCGATTAAGATTTATTCCAAAATTTTAATTATTTATATCTGTAATTATTATACTCTTGTGATCCGTGTACAAAATCGACCAATTATCTTTGTTTAGTATCTTTGGTAAGTCATTTATATAAAGTAAAAAGAACAAGGGGCCAAGAATAGAGCCTTGTGGGACTCCACATTCAGTCCTCTCCCAATTAGATATGCCCCCACTGTTACTTTTGTTATTGAGTTCTGATCTCTGATATCTATCCGTTAAATTAGACTTTATTAATGTTTTAAATTTACCTTCAATGCCATAAAATTCAAGTTTATCAATGAGTATTTTATGCCTAACACAGTCAAAGGCCTTTTGAAGATCACAAGAAATACCACCAACATTTTGTTATTCATTGAAGTAAGTATACTATTTAATAATGTAAAGGCCGCCATTTCGGTTGAGGAGTGTGTTCTAAATCCATACTGTTCATTGACCAAGATACTATTTATTTCAATATGTTAGGGGGGAAAGAAGATATCTAAGTATAAAATGAAGAAATGACATCAATCAGGGCCAGATGAGGATGAGAAAAACTATACTGAGCTTTATAAAAGGTCCCTATTTTTCTTGTAAGAAAGGTTTGTTTTATATACAATTGCAGAAATATATTTTATGATATTTACTATTTGAAATACACCTACCTGTCTGGCGAACATTTTTTGACTTAATATCATCTTCATTTGTTTCATCTCCAAATAAAAGAAGTTGTATCATAGACTTTGATTTCTTGATTTGTCGTCTGAAAGATAAAAGGAAAACATAAGCTTTGATGTCAGAAGTGAAGCCGGATGTATTATTTGGCCAAGGTTAATCTTATGGGGATAATTCCTGTTGTTTAGACAGATTGCTCTGCAGTGTAAATTGTCTTGGAATAGGGCATTTTAAATCCCCTGGTACAACAGGGCTTGAACGCAGATTTTAAGAGAAGAATAACAGTATTAGTAGTGAAATAATATAATTCCCAACCAGCTGAACCTCGTGAACATTACTACAATAGCACAACATACAGACAACAGTGGTCAATGACACTGCATAAATTGCTGATTTAACATTATATGAAACTGCAGGTTGGTTATGTATAGTGAAAGAGATGGGACAGAAAAGGACTGTGACCTACTTTTAACCCTTTGATACACCTAATGTAGTAGAATGGGGTAAACTTAAATGTACTATCTGCTTAGCATGCTAAAACACAGCATAAGAAGCAACATTCAAAGTAAGTGCTCTGACAGCATGAGTATATAACAGGTAAGGGTAAAATCATTCCTGTGCTTAATTAATTAAGCACTATGCCAAAAAGATACACAGAGGTGCAGGTATAGCTGCACCTTTCTTGATCTCAGAACTAAACGGATGTGAGAGGTCAACTTCAGCCTTACTCCCGGTACCCACTGAATAGGAGGCTGGGTGTGCCCGAGTTGGTCTGGGTGCTATGGAGAAAAGACAAATCTTGCAGTGCTGGGAATCAAACCCAGGCCATCCAGCCCAGAGTTATACCAACTGTGCTATCCCAACTCCTAGCATGAGGTTATGGTGAATTAGAACTGTGCAACAATGTATTATTCCAGTATTTTCTGTGAAGGCCACAGGAAAACCATGAAGACCTCAATGGCCCAAATAAGTTTTTACATGGACAGTCCCCACAGATCAGTAATTTACCACTTAATCTAACTTGCCTGGACATTTAGCAGCAGAACTTTTTGATTATTACCATCTAATGAAAAAGCTTGGCACTTATGTTTTTACAATAAACTCCACCACGCCGAAGGGTCCTATCTTCCTGGAAATTATGACATGTAGTCTGGTAAAAGTTTACTGATGTTTTGTAGGAACACAGTGCCTCCATCTTCAGAGCTCAACAGTAAGTCATACAAGCAGCATGCAGAAAACTTGCTGCTTGGCTTACTCTTCAACCCTGAAGATGTAAAGGGTATATTCCTCTGAAAAGTTTGCAAACTACAGAAGTGTACTTTTCATAGTCACCTCCATACGAACCTCAAATATCACATCACATCTTGTTTCAGTTTATAAAGAAATACTAATGTACAAACATTTTGCGAGAGAATGTGTACATGTTACATCTGCAAATAATATTGTTCTTCTATATGTAATAATACAAATGCCATCGTGAATGCAACAATTTATTTGGTTGTAGTTCTTTGTCTTTTCTTCCTATACACTACATGTTTTGACCATAACTGGCCATCAGCAGGTGTATTTTTCACCACGTAGCTGACACTGCACACAATCCTCAATCTAAAACACCAGCCTGTCAGTTTTGTTTAAAATCTCGCCAATATACGCTTGTCAATTTTGATTTCAGAATCCCAGTTTAAAATTTAAAATTTTAAATCACAGGGATACCTGCTCTGTGTCTACATGTAGCCGCTGCAGCACATGTAGACACAGAGCAGGCATCCCTGTTATTTAAAACTTTAAATTTTGAATTTTAAATTTAAACATTTTTAAATTTTAAACTGAAATTCTAAAATCAAAATTGATGAGCATATATTGGCGAGATTTTAAACAAAACTGACAGGCTGGTTTTAGATTGTGGATTGTGTGCAGTGTCAGCTACATAGTGAAAAATACACCTGATGATGGCCAGTTACAGCTGAAACATGTAGTGTAGAGCAGTGCTTCTCAACCGCCAGGGCACGGCCCAGTAGTGGGCCCTGGCATCAATTATACTGGGCCGCGAGAGGCTCTTCTGGAATTTGTCATTTTCATTTTCTATGCATTTTTCATGAATAAATATTTTATGGTTAGCTTAATGCATGAACTTTAACAAAATTGGAAAGGTATTTACGAGTAAATTTCTTGGGACTGGGCCCTCGTCTTATAAAGAAAGAACTTACTGGGCCGCGGTCTCATAAACGTTGAGAACCACAGGTGTAGAGGAAGAAAAGACAAGGAACTACAACCAAATAAATTGTTGCATTCATGATGGCATTTGTATTATCACATATAGAAGTGTATAGTGCAACAGGATGCTTAAATATAATATAATATTGTTCTTCTTGAGGTCACTTTTCTGGAAGATAAAATAACGTGCCAATTGTGTGAAATCTATACTGACTGTTCAGTCTGAATATATGAGGTGGTATTGGAAAGTTCCCAGACTGTTATTGTTGTAACTGCCTCAGAGAAAGAGATGAGAGGGGAGGCCAAGGTCACACTTCCGCAAGCCTACTGCATCAGTCTGCCATGTGACACCACTCCGTGAACATGCACCCTTTTTACATGAGAGCTTTATTGACTTTTTTCATTTTGTCTGCGATGAATGGCAAAACTGAACAATGTGTCTGTATCAATTTTTGCGTAAAACTTGGTAAAACCACTATCAAAACCCTTGAAATGCTCTGTGAGATTTTTGGAGAACATTCTTTAAGCCAGACAGCAGTTTCTGAATGGCATTCACGTTTCAAGGCCAGTTGAGTGTCAGTTGAAGATGACAAATGTTCAGGGTGACCAAGCACCAGCAAAATGACAGAAAATGTTGCAAAAATTTGAGAACTCGTGAACGAAGACTATTGCTGAACAATCCATGAGCTCACAGACACCACTGGGATCAGTTATAGAGTTGGCTAAGAGATGTTATCAGAAAATCTGAACATGCGCTGCATAGCTCCTTCATCATGACAATGTGCCCGTCCACACGTCCCTGAAAAGCACAGAGTTTGTGACTAGCAACAACATGGTTATCATTCCCATCCTCCCTATTCGCTGGACTTAGCCCCCTGTGATTTCAGTTTGTTTCCAAATTGAAAATGAAACTGAAGGGACGACAGTTTGAAAGTGTCTGACATCCAAAGGGAATCCCAAGCAGTACTTGACAGCATTAAGGAAAATGACTTACATGGTGCTATTGAAGTGTGGAAAAAATGACGAGATCACTGCATACATTCCCAAGGATACTATTTGGAAGGAGATGCCAGCCGAAACTGAGTAAGTTAAGCCAGCATTTCTTTCTGACTTAGTCCAGGAACTTTCTAATAGCACCTCATATTATCTGATAAACCATTACATGAAACATCTTTTTTGCATTAAAATTACAAACATGGCAACAGAGTGAATCCTGATATTATTTTATACTTTCAAGCAACAGACATTTCTAGCAGCAGAAGTGATGCGCAAAATTGCACGGCTGTTAACCAATACTTTATGTAAACTACTCTACACAATATTAAAAAGAATGAGGGGGGAGGAAGTCATTCTTCTAGAACTTCATAATTCTCTGTAAATCTTGTGTTTTCAACATCCTTGAAAGTATGTCTAACTCCATGGAGAGAAACTAACAGTCACTCTGTAATGAAATTCCTTCCCTTTCAAGGATATCAGACTTTCTTACTGTAGGCTTAAACAGAAGAGCAGAAGACTCATTCCCATTCTCAGCCTTTATGGCCCAATCTAGACAGTCCATTCACAATCCAAGGACTTTTATACCACTTTCTAACAATCTAGTCATTTACAGTGAAAGGTTAATATGCCCCATCCACCCAGCTTCCAAGCTGGAGGACCACCCTGTGCTCACTGTACATGAATGCTTGCCTCTGTGGTCTAGTGGTCAGAGTTCCTGGCTACAGATCCACAGATTCCCAGCGCTACCAGATTTTCTGAGAAGTACTGGGTCTGGAACATAGTCCACTCAGCCTCATGAGGATAATTGTAGAGCTATTTCAAGGAAATAGCAGCTCCAGTCTATAAAACGGCTGTGGGGATTCGTTGCCCTGACCACGCGACACCTTCTATCTCCTAAAGGTGGCACTAACGTCACTGACAAGCAGCAGTCACTCGGTTGGTATAGTTCAATTGCTGACTAAAACCACGGAGTTTTTTTTTTTTTGTAATCAGAATTACTAATTTTCTGGACTTCGCCCATCATCTATCATTATAAAATACCACATTTTGAAAACTGGAACTCTTTCTGTCCTCAGGCAAGACTACTACTCAGTTGGGTCTGTTAGAGCCAATAACAGTCAAGGGACTTGTTTACTTAATACCTTCGCATCTATATCCAGAGCTCCTCCATCTGCAACCTGAACTTGATATATATTTTGTCTATAGCATGTGGTGTGGGGCTTCAACATTTTGTTGCAATATATACCTACCAACATGAATTATAAAGAAACAGACAGTTTCTCAGACTATCTACTGAAAAATCTAAGAATTCAATCCATACATGTAAACTGCATGGAAGAAGAGATGTGCATAGCAGCTTCAATAAAATGGAATAATTTACCCAGCCATTTGTACAGAGCTACAACAGCTTGGTCAGAATACAACTGTCGTGAAGTAAGACCTCAAGGTGTAGTCCTCTGTCTTCACTTTATTACTCAACGATGTAACTACAATTCAACATTACTGCCTGTAATACAAAAAGCTGAACAAATCGTTTCACAATTGGTCCTTTCATCATTAATAACAACTCTCACTAGAAAGTAAAAATGTCAAACTTCCACTCAAAGTATCTTCTTATATAATCTAGAGTCGGACCTATAGAAAACATGTCACTGTCCATATTGTTTAGGCTTTGCCTAGCAATGGCTTTTTACTCAGCCATTGCTAGGCAGCGAATGTTTTCTAGCTTGTGATTGGTTACCACACGATCCACTGTGGCTGCTTCCCATAGTCACATATTGTTGTAGAGCTTACATAGCAATGACAGTCGCCATTGCTAAGCAATGGTACATGAGCTGTCACTATAGTGTTTGTAACAATGTGGGCAGTTCCCACACT